CCATCTTTTAATTCTGCTGCAAAAATTCTGCACTGACACGTGCTGGAGATTTGCAGTGCTGAGTCTCTCAAGCATAAAGCCAGCAGATATCACCTCACCCTCAAAACCAAGATAAGGCGGAGGGAACATGGGTGGGTTGGAAAATAGCTAAGGAAGGAGGTTTAGAAGGACATGAGGAGTGAGGCACATGATTAGAGGGAAGCTCCCTTATTCCCGATTTATCAGTCTCATAAGAACCTCTTACAGCAACAGTGCTAATATTGCCTATTTAAAACACACAAGAAAATGATCGGTAAGAATTATACTGACAGTGTCATCAGATGCTAACCAGAAGGTTAAATGAGCTCTGTGGGAGCAACTAGCGCACTTCTGCCTCTGAGAACATGAGATTTAGAGAGCGCTGCCATGCCCAAAGCCACCATGCACAGCTCTGCAGAGTGGGTATTTTACATCAGCGAATGACGGTAATTTTGACAGTCAGGCTACCAGTGATTAGCGTCAGGTTTTTATTGCCTGACAGGCAAGCAAACCCCAGGCACAACAGCACCGCTTTCCAGGCTCTGAGGAACATCACCTATGTAGCACTGGCATTCCGAGCTCCTTCTAACATTGTCATCAGCCTAACATCTGTCATCGCTGTGTTTAAGCAGAGGGGACCAAGCCGGCGAGTGTTTTGCCACTCCACATGGAATACTGTGGTTTTTATTTGCACCTTCTCATTTTAATCTCATTCAGCTTCCCAGACATCCATGTTTTTGCTTGCTTCCTTCATGAAAAAGATAAAGTTTGGCAGTAACTGGCCACAGGCAGCCTTGTCAAGTCCCCAGAAGCTTGTCTCTTATGTCTGGTTACGCTTCAAAGATTGTAATTTTTTTCCTCTTAACTGCCTCCCTAAATCAACTAAATACTTTGGACTCCACATTTAGTCTGTGTGTCATCTGTGCTAATAAACAGGAGGTCTTTGGAAACCTGTCAAAGTGTTTGAAGAGTACTGCAGTACAGTTTACAAAGACCACAAACAACTAATCAGATCTATTATCTCAAATAAAAAAAAAAATTGTTTACTAAATCTGGTTTTGCAGAAGATTTTCTAACATGCTGGGTTTTGTATTACTTGTGACCTAAAAGCACTACAGTTAGTACATTACTGCATTTTTTCTTGCTAGAAGTCAGGGCCAAATTACAGGCTAATTTCGAGTTCCCAAACTTTGACTCTAACAGAAGAAAGGATGAGTGGGAAGACAGTATCTTAAACACTCAGAAAGAGGAGTGAAAACTATATCACAGTATCCTTTTCACTGCTAGGGAGCTTCCACCGCTTTGTTTATATATATTTTCAATTATAGCACTGGCTATCTCCATTCAGGTAAAACTCCCAAGGGAGACTGATGGGATTTGATAGAAAGAAATTAACCCAGAATTACAGGGTATAATGCTCACAATCCGTCTTTTGGTGTGGTGTTGAGCTGGGAAGTTAAGGGTAAGCCTTTGACCAGATGTCTACTGTTCTCCCACTAGATCCTTACAGTAAGCCTCCCGCTTAGACAGAGAAAAGTTATCAAGATGCTGCTGCACCGGAGCCATCACTATTTCATCAGCACAGTGGATAATACACAGCTTATATGGCTCTGAAGACTCCAAAGGAGGAAAAGGAGTTTATGAGGACAAGAGGAGAGGATGTAATTTGGAAAATAAAAGGAAAACATATATTGAGAAAGGAATGGATGCTGTTTTGTCAGGACACAGACCAGAGTGGATGAAGGAAATACAAAACCAGGAAAAATCTTGCCTTCCGAAAGAATAAGCAAAGAGATTTTATTTTTATTTTGCAATTTTTTGTATCTTTATTTCATTTCAAAAGCTCCATTACTGATTCTCTCTTCAGGACTTGGTAAGCTGGCTGAAAAGATATGCATTTTGGTTTTGTACTACAGGAATAAACTCCCATCACATGAAATCCCTTACTCACAATGGAATTTTTTTCTCTCATCTTGTTTCCCAAGGCATCTTTGAGATGGTTATCAATAAATAACAGACAGTAACTGGCTAAACAGTCTGTTACCTACTTTTTTTTTCATCAGTTGGTGAAAAATCTGCACAAACTACATACAACAGTGCCAGCAGAAGGAAATACCACTTGTTTCAGAGAGACAGATGCATACTGCTAAATATAGATTTTATAGAACTGTTGGTTTCCAAGTTCATCGGACTCATTCCCACTGCTTCTCAGCGGCTCTTTCTCATCCCCCATGTCATTGTCTTTCATCTGTGCAAAATAGGCAGAAGAAGCTTTGTATTCATAGTGCCTGTCAAGAGATTTCAGGTAGATCAACATATGAAGAGCATAGGCAAGAACCAGCAGCAGAATCAGCGACATAACCAATCCCATAAGTATTGCTGGAGAGAAAAAGGTTGCACAGTCTTTTGCATAGGCAAAATGTCCTTCTTGAATGTTAAAACCTTGAATCTACAAAGAGAACAAAAGGACTCATATTAAATACAGTATTTGCTGTCTTGGTTACAACCAACTTCATGAATTTGCTCCTGATGCCAGAAAGAATTTTTAATTTAATATCTGGTTCTTGCAAAATTGTATCTATCAGTGTTAGCTGGAGTTAGTGCTCTGAGTTTATCCAGGTCAGTCTTCTAGAAACCGACAGTTACTCTAATCCCCTTCAGTCTGCTGCCCAAAGGATTTGCAGTTGTGTTTTAAACAAAATCTTCTATGATCACTCTTGATAACCCAGTAATATTTAATTGTAAGCGTGGTACCTGTCAAGTTAACGGTGCATTTCCAGCATAATTTGTTGAGAATCTCCAGAGTCTCTGTTTCAAACTGCATAAACTTCAACGTGACAAACAAGGAAATATGCTCAACTGCCTACCCTAATATTAGATTTTCCTCACCAGATCCAAGTGTGCGGTATATAACAGCAAATCAGCTAAACTACATGAAGTTGCATTCAACTATGGCAATACCAGTAAGTCTTACTTGTGGCTTCAGTTCTAACACAAAGTTTACCACATTGGTATTCAGGGAATTGACTGTCTGCTCCACTAAATCGGTCCGTGGGCATTGATCACATGGTGAGAAAAGGGGGATCAGCTTTCCCCCTCAATCCCCTTTCCAGCTGTTCACGCCTATGACTTAGGTATCTAAAAGCAAGACATCCTAGTCCAGTTATCTTAGGCTCCCTTATTGCCAAACACAGAAAAATAGGCACTTTCAGAAGATGGTTAATCTCATCCTAAAATAAGGACTTAAGATGCATCAGAGGAATTATCCACTGGCTTTAGAGGCAGGCTGGGGTGACTATAATCAGGGCACAAGGTTAAAATTACTAGGCATCAAAAGTTAAGTGAGATGAATCCCATACTTGGTGACTGATGCTGTTATTGATGCCTGTTTTAAAAGCCCAGCTCAGAGAGATGTAACACTGAAAGTTAAATTCACTCCACAGAGTAAAGGGAAACCCAAGCAAGAGACTACAGGAAATCTATATAGACTTTCATTTCCTTTGACAGGAAGATAAGTATAATAATTTAAGTCTTCATTTCTATTTCAAGTTCCATGGAGATCCTGTAAACTGTACATGGAAGGTCATTATACTTTCTTGGCAGTGAAGTGCAAAATTTCCCATCAGTCTACCTAGGGGATCCATTTGGCTCAATTCCATGACATTACCTGGAAATCAGTAAAAGTGACTTCCCAAAGCTTTGAAAGATCATTTGCAGAGCTGGGTATGAGGAGTGCATCATATCTTTGCAAGCTGCTCACATGTTCACAGTGGTAGGAGTAACTTGCCGGTGCATATATTCTGGTTGCATTAAATGTCGCTTGTATGGAGTGGTTGTAAAGAAGTTGCAGTTTGTGTAAACTGAACCAGTTCTGAACAGACAGCTGGTAATAGCTGGTTGTTAATAAGAATCTGAAAATATTGTGTGAGAAAAAAGATTAATAAGAAAGCAAGTCTAAATAAGAGCTGGAACTGTTAAACTCACATCTTGAACAATCTTAGAAGGCACACTGGTATTACCAGAGTTTCATCCATTTATATCAGTGTGAGCTCTAGCTCCTTCTATTGAGTCTGGAAAATGATTTGAGTTTCTCCACTGTTGTAGCTGAAGGAGTTTGCTGCTCTCCCACACAGTGAGAGGAAAGGTGAGGGATTTTTCCTAAATGACTGAGAAAAATCTATATGCAACATTGGTATTGTACTTCCACCCAAGATACAGAAAATTATTCATCAAGAAATGCTGTTTTCTTCGATCACCAAGAAGCAAACATAAAGTAGTTTACAGTCTGATGCCTGAGCAGCCCATACTACCAGTTCTTGCATCAAAATTCCCAGACAAAAATATAGGTAATTAGCAAGCTTTAGCAAAAATCTCAGAGATGGGAAGATTCTATGCAAAAGAGATGACCTGAACTTTTCTCATTAATAAAAAAGTCAACATAGAAGAAGAAATGCCTTAATAAAACAAGGCAGGCAAATGACAGACCTATTAAATGCAGATGTCTTGATTGTACAACCAACAGTTCCTTCACGTTATTTTTGCTTACACAAATTTTCCTAAAACAAATTGCACAAGCAACTGCATTGTTAATATCCATAACAATGTATATTAACATGTGATTATCTAGTATTTTCTTTATCACATAAACTTACCTAATAACAAGCCCCTTTAGATTGCCAACATCACCAAACTTCAGAGAAAGCCTAGGTCAAAAAGCAAGTAACATCAGGCTAGACAAAAAATTCAGAAATCTTAAGAGAAAAAAGCAGCACAAAGGATTAAGCATAGTTACACATGGAGCCTTTTGCTCAGTATACCTTTGACATCAGGGGGGAAAAAAACTGAAAGGGTTAAATCTTCCTCCAGTGAAATCCAGTAGTTCAGCTGTTAATTTGAAGGAGGCCTAGACTATCCAGAAAGAACAGAACTGCATGCTCAACTTTCAACACAATTAAATTCCACTGCTTCCAACATCGGCTGACAATTAGGTTCATTTGATCTGTGTTCTCCTTCTCAAGCCATGATATCTTAGTCATGAATCACCTCTGTATGTCATTAGAAAGTGTAAACAGCCACATTATTCTCATCTTTTTAGATAAAAAATGCAGATGACATTTGAGTTCCAGTTTCACACATGTGCATCATTAGAGCAATATAAATACACTGACTGTGAGGTAGCTCTACAGAGCTCATCTGCGGTGAGGATGGGCACCTGAAGTTTACTGAAGTGAAAGGCCCTAGCAGGTTAATTGTAAACTAATGCATACCCTACCATCCTTTTTACCATCTCTGGAATTAATGCATTGTAGCACTGCATGATTAAGTGGTATACTTTTTTTTTGGCTTAACAATAATATTTTGCCTCTTAAAACCTGCATAATAGATTCTCACTGTCGACATAACATTTTCAGACTAAGCTAGAGACAAAACATAGTGAAACAATGCAGCATCTGAAAAACTTCTGAACCTAAAGCTGAAGGAAATAAATAAAAAAAAACCCTAGCTAGCCCTATGATTTCATACGAGATCTAGACTTCTTGTACCTTGACTAACATTGGTCCAATAAGCCAGGACACTGAATCTAGACTATCCCCCGCTTTATTACAGAGGGAAATCATAGACAGTTGAGGATTAGACACAGGAAAATACAGCACTAAACTCAGTGGCCTGATCCAGAAGTTGGTGCATAAAAAACCACCCACAGGTTGGATTATTATATTTGTATAGCAAATACGTATATGTTCAGTGCCAAATATTTTTTTCCTGGCTCCAGCTACTTTGCATTGATCAGACAGTACAAAGCAGCTTGAAAGCTGACCGAAAGCCACAACAGAGTATTGTCTTAACAAAGAAGGCTGAAGAAGGGCGAAGTTTAAGGGACTTTTCTCAGGTGAGAAAAACTGGGCAATGCATCCTGTGAGCACTCAGCCATCAACTGGCATAATTTAGGTCAGTCCTTAAACCAGAGATCACAGAGCAACATTCAAGCCAGTTTTTCCCTTTCTTCTCTGCTACAGTCAAATGCAGGTTGACTGAAAATATAACCCAAGACTTGTATTTGGCAATTACACTGAGTCTAATCCTGACTCACAAGCCCAGATTATCCATTTTCCTATCTGTAGAGCATGATTTCTACATATAGGGACCTCAATCAGTACTCAGATGCGGTCAGTGGCAATGGATGAATGGATACTTGAAACTTCCAGTTTCTAATTACTTGATACGTGGAATCCAGCAGAGATGCCACAGATCTGTTCATGCAATCTATCAAATGTCCTGACAACCTCCTGAAAGGAGGTTGTAGCGAGGTGGGTGTCGGTCTCTCCTCCCAAGTAACAAGCAATAGGACGAGAGGAAATGGCCTCAAGTTGCACCAGGGGAGGTTTAGATTGGACGTGAGGAAAAATTTCTTTCCTGAAAGAGTGGTTAAACCTTGGAAGAGGCTGCCCAGGGAAGTGGTTGAGTCACCATCCCTGGAAGTATTTAAAAGACGGGTAGATGAGGCGCTTAGGGACATGGTTTAGTGGGCATGGTGGTGTTGGGTCGACGGTTGGACTCGATGACCTTAGAGGTCTTTTCCAACCTTAATGATTCTATGATTCTATGAAATCCGTTCTAGCAAGAGCTCAGAATAAGACGGGGCTTTCTTGCTTATGATTCTGGAGTGCATTCAAAGGGCAGGAATCAGTGGGACTAGTATTTCTCAGTGTGTCCCAAATAAATAAAGTAATAGAACATGCAAGAAAGCAAAACCATTGGGAAGGGGTAGCATTTTCCTCTTTCTCTCCACAGAAAAGAGGAGAAAAGGCTCAGTAGTCACAGTATGTCTCTTGACCCCAGAAAAAAAATTCCAGCCTCAGCTTCGAACTAAGCATCAAGGTCCTGCTTGCCTTTAGCAGCTGTGTCCCTAGTTCGAGGGTACTCAGAAAACTATGGGAGAAACAAGGAGAAAGATCAGAAGACATGGCAGATGAGATGACTCTGGACCCACAGATTTTGAGATCAAACCTCAGATATGGTGAAATTCTGATAAAAGGCACGTCAAGGGTATGCTGTAGAGTTGTTCTTCTTCCTGACTCTTTGCGCAGCTTTTTAATGAATAATGTGTTCTATAAATTCCCAAATATCTTCCAACATAATGCATCAAGCAGAATATAAAGCCCTGTGTTGGGTTGACCCCAGACAGCAGCTAAGACCCATGCAGCGGCTCACTCACTCCCCCCACCCCACAGCACGACAGAGGAGAGAATAGGAAGAGCAAAAGCAAGAGAGCTCATGGGTCAAGATAGACTTTAATAAGTGAAGGAAAGAGGGGGAAAAAAACATGGAAGTTTTGCAAGGGCAATCACTGACCATCTCCCATGAGCAGACTGATGCCCAGTGAATCTCTGAGCAACGGCCACCCTGGAAGACACAACTCCTACCCACTTCTTCCTCTACCCCAGTTTTCATTGCTAAGCATGACGTTATATGGCAGGGAATATAACCTTGGTCAACTCGGGTCAGCTGTCCAGGCATTGTCCACTCCCAGCCTCTTGCCAACCTCAACCTACTTGCTGGGGAGGGCAGAGGGACAAACAGAGAAGGCCTGGACGCTGTGCGAGCACTGCTCAGCAAGAGCCAAAACACTGGTATGTTATCAACACGGTTCTAGCCACAAACCCAAAACACAAGAGAATTATCTCCCTCCCAGCCAGAGCCAGGACAAGTCCTAATTTCTTAGAATTCTGTATTTATGGAATGAAACCTCCACTACTGTAGCCAGACTACAGAGGTATCTGTGACAGATAGGTAGACAGAGTAGCCTGCTCAAATCTAACAGTCTCCAAACAGCAGCTCCAGTAGGGGTTTGCAGTCCACCACTGCACTGTCTTTTTGATTTTTCAAGCCTTATGAACAACTATAAAACTATACTTCATGTTTTGAAACCCTTACTTTTGCATGAGTATATTTTCTATTAGGTTACAATCATTACTAATAAGACTAAGATTATCTCTGAATTGCAGACCAGAACAGAAGAAGGAATGTTTGTTATTATTTTTTATTTTTAAAATAATATTATTCCATTCTCTACCTCTGCCTTTCAAAACATAGTGCTGGATTAGTTCACGTGCTGATGACATAAAACTCAGACTGCCTTGTTGAATACTGTGATACCACGGGCAGAAAACCTGACTTCTTTTTCAACTATGCTTTTAGCTTTCTTGTAACCTCACTACAATTTCTGTGCACCTTGGGTTATCCTGCACAGATGTATCATCAGAAAGAGATAAGACTTACTTTCTGTGGAAACGTCTTTACATGTACACGTAAAATGTTGTATAGGAGCTAAATGAAACTGCTGGTTTTGGTCATGTTATTTTTATTCTTGTGTGTCATTACAGATTTAAACTCCATTTATGGGGTAGACTCAATGCTCATGTTCAGCACATGCCCAGTTAGGATCCACCTCCTAATTTTTAGACTGTTGCCTACCAGAGTGGAATCAATGACCTGGTATTAGACATTGTCATGGTTTAACCTCAGCCGGCAACTCAGCACCACCCAGCCGCTCGCTCACTCCCCCCAGTGGGATGGGGAAGAGAATCGGAAGGGCAAAAGTGAGAAAACTCGGGGCTTGAGATAGAGACAGTTTAATAGGTAAAGCAAAAGCCATGCACGCAAGCAAAGCAAAACAAGGAATTCATTCACTACTTCCCATGGGCAGGCAGGTGTTCAGCCATCTCCAGGAAAGCAGGGCTCCATCACCCCTAACGGTGACTTGGGAAGACAAACGCCATCACTCCAAACGTCCCCCCCTTCCTTCTTCTTCCCCCAGCTTTATATGCTGAGCATGACGTCACACAGTATGGAATATTCCTTTGGCCAGTTGGGGTCAGCTGTCCTGGCTGTGCCCCCTCCCGGCTTCTTGTGGCCCTCCAGCCTGCTCAGTCGGCAGAGCATGGGAAGCTGAAAAGTCCTTGACTAGTGTAAGCACTACCTAGCAACAACTAAAACATCGGTGTGTTATCAACATTGTTCTCCTCCTAAATCCAAAACACAGCACTGTGCCAGCTACTAAGAAGGAAATTAACTCTACCCCTGCTGAAACCAGGACAGACATGAAGCCAGCCAGCATACTACATGGAGGGAAAGAAGTGGTCAGGTCCACTAGGAAGGAAATCAAAAAACCTAAATGCCTTTCTAGTATGGCCATGGGATTGGAGGATTTTGGATCCAGTTAGGTTAATATATAGCTCTCACTCAGGTTTAGCAAGAGCAAAGCATGTGCTGTTCATGCTGAAGAAATTCATGACAGACTGGGATGCAGAGTTCAGGTTTTCAGAGACTCTTCAGGTCACATGCAAACCTGTAGTGAATTCACTTTTCAGCTTCAGCAACTCATGGATCACATCCTGGGACTTGAGGCTACCTAACTCTATTTCATCTGCATCTTGTACCAATGGTTTATGTTACTGCTGATGCACATCCTATGAAGGGATAAGTAGTCCTGCATGGCCAGCCCCTAAGCCCCCGTATTCAGCATAGGATCCACTATTCAATCTCCCGAGCAGCTATGTAAAACATCTGGAGACTAAAAAGATCAACATCTTCAGCCTCACAGGCACTAACAGCAAAACTGGCTGGCCACAAGGATTGACTACACCACTGCAAGAGATGAGGACAGCTATGTACATCTATGTGCCCCATGAAAGACTGGTCTGAAAGTATATAACCCATGCTGCCCTGCTGCCTGCAACGTCAGTACATTATAGGAAGGAGCTTCCCCCTGGGACTCTACACCACATAATACAAGGTCTGTTTCCCTCAGTATGTATGCTGGAGCATAGAAGGGCATTGTCCAAAGAAGGGCAATGAAGCTGGTGAAGGGTCTAGAGCACAAGTCTTATGAGGAGTAGCTGAGGGAACTGGGGCTGGTCTTTCCTGGCAAAAAGGAAGCGCAGGGGAGACCTTATCGCTCTCTACAACTACCTGAAAGGAGGTTGTAGCAAGGTGGGTGTCTGTCTCTCCTCCCAAGTAACTAGCGATGGGACGAGAGGAAATGGCCTCAAGTTGCAGCAGGGGAGGTTTAGATTGGATATTAGGAAAAATTTCTTCACCGAAAGGTTGGCCAAGTATTGGAACAGGCTGCCCGGGGAAGTGGTTGAGTCACCATCCCTGGAGGTATTTAAAAGACATGTAGATGTGGTGCTTAGGGACATGGTTTAGTAGTGGACTTGGCAGTGCTAGGTTAACGGTTGGACTTGATGATCTTAAAGGTCTTTTCCAACCTAAATGAGATTCTATGATTCCATTTACTAGACTTGTTATCTGGCACTAGTTCCATTGGCAGAGTAGAATGCCACCTTACATTGCATTGTCTTCACTGCAGTTGGAATCTCCAACATCCACTGTTGCATGGACACCAAATGTCTTCTCCGTCAAATCCAGCTGCGTGTGGTTTTCAAACTTAATCATGATCCTCTTGGCCCAGAAGAGAATGCAGGGAATGCCATTAACCGTGACGTTGAGAGGGCTGTAGTGGCTGTGGGTGAACAGCCTCCAGGATGCTCTTCCCCACTGTCCTTTCCTGCTCAAGTTGTAGCTGACAACCTGATCGACCACATAAAAGATCAATATCAGAAGATGTGTATTTCAGCAGTTACTCTCCATCCTACCAGAATAAATGAGGCCAGCACTTGGAGAGCATCTGTGGAGCCAGTTCTCAGCCGCAGCAGTACTGAACTGAGGAAGCAGAGAAATCTCTGGCTAACCCCTTCCCACCATCAGAATGGCACCATACAGACCTCTAGCTCCAGCACAACTGGCCAGAGAGCCAATATAAGTTATATTTATTCTACTAGAGTAGTATCACTGGGGCAAACCACATTCTTAGCATGCTCCCTTCTCACCATAGAGCTGCCCGATATAAAAAATTGAAGCAAAGCTAGAATCACAAGGTGTTCACCCCAGCAGAAGACTCTCTAGGACACCTGTAAGAATTAGTTCAACACACCAGGGAGAACTCAGCTTGGGCCAAGGACACAGCCTACCACACTGAAAGCACACTAGGCAGCTGTCCAGGTGAAAGAAATGTCCAAGTCTACATCTACCTGCAGACAGTTTGGCTCCTGATGGCTTTAAAATCAGGAAAATGCCAGCTGCAGAACAGGATGGCTCAAGTATGGATCCCTGCCTTTACAAAATCAGTCATTCGCAAGATTGAAACCTGGGGACTGCAGCTTCCATGTTATCTGTAGGCATTAGAAAAATGCTATCCCTTCTAAGCCAAATTTCATAGCAAAAGGAGGACAATTTGGCTGTTAGGCAATATAATTTGAGACAGTGGGTTAGGGCTCAGAAAGGACTTCAAAATGTAACTGTCATTTCCATATTTCAAACTAAAATTTCCAGACACCAACTCTTCTCCATCTACACATACGTCCTATCTGAATATGATAACATATACAATGTCTGCATGGCTGTTTTGCATGTCATATGATTAAGCAAGTTCAAATCATGTACAAACAAGAAAGGTATTCTGAGTCCCAGTCATAAACAGCATCTTACAAGGCTCCAGAAGGGATGTGGTTAAGCTTCAAAGCTTTGTCTTGGCTTAAACAGAGATTATTTTTTTTCTGTTCAGATTAGTGAATCACGTATCCCAGCTCAGACCCTGAAAGACCCCTTTTGATACCTGACCTTACATGTGGCACAAGACTGCTTTACAATAAAATTAGTAAGTACTCACAGCAACAAGCTGAAAGCAAGGTAAGAACATTGTCAGAAAACGTGATGCCACAGCCAGCAAGAAATGTTGATTATGACTGTCATTTGTATAAATGATAAGGCTGCCTTCTCAGAAGTACAGATGAGAGAGATTTAATCAGCAGATTATTTACACTAGATTGCATCATTTGCAAGGTTTTTGATAAGGAAGCCTTATATGCTCAGTTTTTGACAAAACCTACAGACTGGACTCAGGAAAAACTCCCACTAAATTTAAACAATCAGCAGTTTTGCCTCAGCTATTCTTTTAGTACCAAGTGATATAAGCAAAATACTGGCCACAGCAGCCAAATGGCATTGTACAGAATACAGATGATAGGATTTGGTTCTTTCAGTAAGACCCTGTGCCCAAACCCACTGTCAGTCAGCACCAGCAACAGCAACTGAAGTCTTACCTGACTTCTCAGAAAAGCAGAAGATATCCTGTACAGCAGGTTGTGAATCAGTACCACATCACAATGATTTAGACAGTTTTGTTGGCTAATTCTTTTAAACAATATATAATTTAATTCAATAAAGCAAATTAAAAGATGTCAATGTGCTATGAAAAAACTTCACAGATCCAGTTCCTTCAAACATTACCTGTGTAAATGCTACTTGATTTACATTAAATTTTGCCTTCACACCACCGTCATAATGTCGACCTGCAGAAGAAAGTGTGTTATTAGCCTACAAAGAAAACATCCAATCATTTATAAAATCATAATCTCGCACGTTCCTATGCAAACAATAATTATCCCTGCACAAAATGTGTATTTCAGAATACCCGATTTTGTTTTGGAAAATATTTGGCCTGGTGCAAATACTGCCTTCAATACATCCACTTTCTAGTTTACTTTACCTTACTCATACAACAAGCTTCCTCTTCTTTTCATTGAACATCTTGCCACCCTTACTGGGAAGAACTCCAGTGCCTAAAAATGACAGGATTCAGCCTATACGTGTATTTATTCATCCCAAACACACTTAACAAAAGCTGCTTCTTTCTTCATACAGCAAACACTGTTGTCGAAGGGTGTGTGTTGAATTGCATGGCAAAAGCATGTAACTATGGGTAAGAATTTCTTTCCCTGCACTGGCCAGAGATGGGAAGCTGTGACAAATAACCTGACGGCCTGACTGCTTGCCAGGAGAATGAAGTCTCACAGATGACAGATAATTTCATGGACACTCTCACAGCTCCATCCTTCAAACATTTAACTGTTTTCATTTGCTTAAAAAAAAAAGAAAAAAAAGAGTGAATACTTCTTTCTTCCACATTCTCACTGTATCTCAGTGTCAGTCAGCAAATGATTATTTTAGCCAGGCAAATCCTTTAAAGGGTATTTTCTAAAGAGGGATATGCTTTAACAACACATTTGACAGAAGAGTCACTAATGCCAACAGAAGCAACATCTGGGAATTAAGATCTTTTACAGCCACACTAACCAAGCTAGTATCCAGCCATTCAGCCCACTGAAAAAAAAAGCCTTACCATATCTTTGCAGAGAATCTTGATCTGAAAATGCACCTGAACTAGAAGAGAGGAGAAAAATATTTACTGTACAGCATCTGGATTTAACGTCTGCAGCACGTTTACTGGGGACAGCTCCTGCTCCTGCGTCATTCAATAAAACATTCAAAATGTAACTCAGATCTTTGGCTGGTTAATGTCACAGGAACAGGGCAAATTAATCCCAAAGCCAGTGCACCCACGCTAAAAATGCCTCATTTTCAGAGATCCCTCAGGCAGATCAGCCCTGCCAGGCACTCCCATGTCCTTACCATGTTGACTAAAGTCTTCATTACCCCTCTTGTCCCTTTCCATGGGACATCAGTTCTGGGTTAGAGACGGAACCAGTTCCAGCCCACAAGCAGGGGAATGCAAAGATAGTGATGCACCATCCTCAGCCCCCAGTGAGGATCAGAAGCAACACGTTGAATTCCTCCAGGATAGAGCAAATGCACAGGCCTAGTATCCCTTAAGCCCAGATGTACAGCCATCTGTAAAGACAGCTCCCGAATGACTCCAGGCAATCCCAAGTCCCATGGAAGTCAGCTGTAATGTATGGGGCAAGTGAAGCACATCTCAAGTAACAACTACCAGGCTCATGAAATTTTCAGCCTTTGATTTCCTTCTGTGGTATAATTTAGGGATAACTCTTCAGCTGATATAAGTATGATCTGCTTTCCTGAACTAGAGAGTCAAGCCCAGTAGATTCAGGTACGTCACCAAAAGACTTACAAGATCAAACAAAGCCCAAGAAACCAGGCCCTCCCTTAGGACCAGACTCCACTCCTTGAGTCACAGGAACACCTTCCTGCCTCCTCCACACCATGGCAGCTTCCTTGTGACCTGCAGCCCCCTACAGTGGGCTGATCTACTGATCTGATGACACGTGTCCACTTCTCACGTTTCCTGTCAGCGTTCCTCAGCAGGTGAACCTCCCAGCGTTCCCTCCCACAAGCTGAGTAATATCCCACAGAGACCCTGTACACCCTGCCCTACTTCTGCCCGCACAGTGCTTTCCAGGCCGTAAGCCATGGTGGGGCTGGAGCTGCCTCGCAGCCACTTCACGTGGAAGTGGAATCTTCTTTTCTTGCCTTGCTTATGACTGGCTTTCCAACCCACCACAAAAGCAAAATACTTGAAAAGATATACGCAAACACCAGCACATAAGGACTAGGAATAAAAGCAGTTTTCAGTATTTATGTGTAAATTGTACCATAAGGTATTTGAATTGCAGGGTCAAGCCGTGGCCTCGCTGGGGAGCCCCTGAACAGCTGGGTGGACCCACACTCCGATGGACTCCCTGGGGAGGGGGATCTTTGTTACCCGCTAGCATGTACTGCAGGAGTGATCCCAATCTAATTTCCATCGCGGCATCCTTAATGGCAGATGAGTCCGAACAATGTTAACACCAACAAAGGAGAAACGTGGGGTGGCTTAGCGCCTGCCTTGTTTGCTGCCATGCCCACGCAGCTCTGGCAGCCGGGGAGTTTGATCACACTGAACCTGGCTCACCTGAAACCCATGACAACATTACCAGCTTCAGCAAAGCCCAGATTTCGCACGCAATGTCTTGTTTACACTCGAGGTTCAGGAGGGCAGCAGGCTCTTTCTTCTGATCAGCGCCTCTCCAGCGAGAATGTCCTTTGACAGGCATACTCTCTTCTCTGCTGCCACAAATAGATCTCTTGTGTCCCCTTGCAAACTCCTCAAACCCAGAAGGCAAAACAGACAAAAGTGAAGCGGAGTCTCTATTCCAGCTTGTCACTTTGCTGCCAAACACCAGGTCTGATGAGCAGCTTTGCTCCCGACCATTGGGAAGGCTGCTCAGTCCCTTCAGCAACCAGAGCAATAAAGCAGAAGACAGTCTCCAGAGAAAACGTAACACAGCACAAAAAGACAGCTAGGCTCTGCAGCACCGCAGCAGTGACTGTGATTGGAGCTGAAAGAACCTTACAAAGATCTTATGTTCAAAAAAGTTCAAAGTAGGTAACACTGTTTAAAATCAATCTGGCAGTTTTAAATACATACAGTAAGAACAACTCTCTCCCCAGTCGGAGCTGTTAAATCCCAAAGGCGCTGTGCACTTTCAGAGTGGGTTCCGCTCTCCCTCACCATACTTTTGGAGCCAGGAAAAGTTCAAAGTAGGTAACACTGTTTAAAATCAATCTGGCAGTTTTAAATACATATAGTAAGAACAACTCTCTCCCCAGTCGGAGCTGTTAAATCCCAGTGACTTCAAAGGCGCTGTGCACTTTCAGAGTGGGTCCCGCTCTCCCCCACCATACTTTCGGAGCCAGGGTTAGTGCTGAGCTGAGGTCCCTAAGCCACTCGAAGGTCTCGTCCCAGTAGCGAGCAGCCTTCAGAGATGGGTGGAAATAATCCTCATTTTGACAGATAGGTAACAAAAGACACAGCTAAAATGGACTGAACTTTGTTTTCTTGTTCAGGTAAAACTCTCTCTTGGGTTGTTTAACAATTAGGAACATGGGTTTTGTGATTTGATGCAGCCTTATTTTTCTTTTCTAGTCTTCCTTCATGACAGATTGTGCCTTCAGGCTGGAAAAGGCAATTTTGGGGCATTTTTTCATTATAATAGCTACAAAAATGAGGCATACCAAAAGGAAATTAATGTAAATTATTTAGTTATACTAACTTTAGTTGTATTTAGTTATACTTAGATATATTTAGTTACGCTTAGTTATACTTTTAGCTCCTCCCTATATGCATAATTAAAAGCTCATAGCCCATTACTCCAGTTTGGAAATCACCATGCTGTAGCGTGCAGACGAAAACATCGGGATGAGAGGAGGCTGGCGTAAAATTGTGTAATTCATTTCATTCCCTCACTGGACTTGAAAGGTTTTTATGTTGTTCTGGGAAGAGGAAGGGTTATTTTTGTTTTCATGATTGGCAATTAAAAAAAAATAAATCATTACTTAGTTTCCCATCTGGGATAAGGCTAATACCACAGTCATGCCAATTAAATCACCTTGAGGAATGATAAGTGATAGGCAACACCAAGCCTTGAGGAGAGCATACAATGAATACAAGGCCTACGCATTGTGAACGCCCGTGTGGGGTTACATCCTGAGCAGAACGGCTATAACCGGCCTCCACACAGCCCACGGGCGCAGGCTGGGAGCTCGTGACAGTGCAGTTAGATTCCTGTACATCACATGTAAAACCACAGCAATGCGCAGGCATGCTGCTCCAGAAGAAATGTCAAGCTTCTGCTCTCAGCCTGAAGATACTCAAATATAGATGAATGTGTACAGCTAATGAAATATTCATGCTTTCATGAGGAATGCAGTGGAGAGAGTGACCCGGGAACCACCGCTAAGTACCACAGTGTGACAAATATGATCAGCCACATGGCAGGCACACTTGGGAGGCAGGCGGAGGCATGCAAGTGAAATAACTCCACCTAGGTACTCCTGTTCGTTACTCCGTTTATTAGCAATGCTGGCTGCCTCCTTTCCTCCTGCACAATGCATGCAGCCCCGTTAGAGAAAGGCAAGGGAAATCCATCATGGCAAGGCTTGCAGTCTTTGCTTTGTCTTACTGAAGCCGGATCACGATGGCACAGACTGTCTATTCAGTGGCGTAAGGGAAGGATCGCCTCCCAGTTTCTGAGCAAGCACAGGTTTATGTTGATGTTATCAGGTCTGTCAGCTGCCTTTGACACTCATAACCCTGAGGTGTCACAGAAGTGTGTGATCTGTGACAGGAATGGGTGGCCTTCAATAGCCATCCTGCTGTCAAATCAGCAGCCTTTCCAATCAAAAGGCAAGCTGGGGAATTCACAGGTGATCTCTGGCAGCAAGGCCCTTTTGCCCTCAGCTGGAGCATGTTTCATAGAACGAAAGCATTGTAAGAAGAAACGGGAAAATAACAACACATTAAAAATATGTATTCCCTTTTTTATATAAAAATGTTAAGTACATGTATAACAGACACGAAACTAGCTAGCACTACAGCCGCCTTCTCCACTGCCTGCAAAACTATCAGCAAACAGTGGATAGACCTGAAATCAGTGAGAGCAAATAATTTTTAGCACACTGAATTAGAGACTAGACTTTCAAATTTATCATTTTTTTCAGCCACTCTGCCCTAAAACGTCAAATTCACTTGCACACATGATATATGTTTTGATGACTAATATTTTTCCCTACCAATTCGTAAATGACTATCCCAGATATACCCAGACATGTATGTTGTATGTTGAATTTACAATACCAAATATGTCAGGAACCTACATGAAATTGGATTAGCCCTAATACAAAGCACTGGGATGACTAATCACTATGTAAAACCCAATTAAATAAGATTATGAGTATAAAGAAGAGTAAATTCCCTCTTATCAGACAACATTATCCATCTACATAAGATAACCAAGTCTAGCTTGTTTGTCTGAAAAAATTCATATAGGCTCCAGCCCTTAAAGACTTTCACATGAGCAGTCTTTCGTCCACTCAGACGAGTCGCGTAAATAAGCCTGACACTCAACAGTGATAGAGTGTGGAGACCATAGACAGTTTTCATGCCATCAGGTTAAAGGAAGCCATATGCACACTGCCTTTTACTCTTCATGCTGCTGCTCTGACAAACTGCATCAGATGGCAATACTCTACTGCAGTATTTCGATTACTCCAGAATTATCACTCTGAGACTAATATTGTCCAGCTGCAGACTACCTCACTGGCTGTTGAACTAGTTACAATTAATTTATGAAGCATTTAATTGGAAGATAACATGTGAATCTTCAAACGCACTAAAAACAAAGTTATGATGAAAGGTGATGAATGCTTGCTGAGAGCCTGGTAGCATTGAAGTGGTTGTAGTCCTAGGGACATTGATCAGAAGTAATTTCAATGAAGTTATTAAAATTATAAACATGTAAGCCTGAGAGCTCAGACTCAGGGTAAAAGCTAGTTCCTTCTAAGAAACATCCTAACAAAAAATGTTACTAAGTTTCCAATGTATCTATTTAAGTTCTATCATTAAGAAATATCTACAAAGCCCA